TTTTCCATTCCTGATAAAGTTAAATATGATATGCATATTTTTAAGTATTGAGGGAGGGGGGGGGGGGCTGGTAGGAGAGTTTATACATGCACTACGTAAGATGAGTAATACTAAAGGTTGAACCACTGTTGACTTTCTCATTATTGAAAGGTTTCTCAGAGACCAGCTTTCCAAGATATTTTTCATTTTGTTCAATATTTTCTAAAAAGTTTTTTCAGATTGTATTTTGTCAGTTACTATTCTCTTCCAAGTAACTTAAATACACCTGCATGGTTCTATTTTAATTCTTTTTGTTAATCAATGAAGTTCAAAAGTTTCTGTTCACACCCAAAGGCCGTTAGATGCCATATCTTACTTCCACCAAGGCTGCTCTACAACAATATAAGAGTATTCTTGCGAACATATCTGAATCAGCACTACAGTGCCGTGTCATCAGATACCATGTGCTCACTCTGGTTGGACTTGTGCGGAACAGTGGACCCTTGTGGACACATTTGCCAGAAGCTATTGACCTGCCCAGAGTTGCTCCAGTATGCATGTAGGTGCAGATGTAGAGGCTGACAATGTGCAAGGGCAAAATGCACTGTATATTGCACATACAAGGGAGAATTTAACGTCTTAACTATTGCAAAGTTTTATAAAGAGTCGTAAGGTGATAAAAGCATGGAAATGGCTGGTTACGAACTTTGAACATGCTGCCTTAAGTATCTGCACTGGCAATGTATTTGATCGGATGTGTGAAAACACACAATTGTTTCAACTTACTGGATTAAAAGTATGAACATCTTGTTCAAAAGTGTAGTTCTTAGCTAGTATTATAGATTTGCCTTACTTAATAGACTAACGCAACTTTAAATGCTTGTTGCTAGGGTAATATGCTGCCTAGCAATCGTGGCTAAGGTTAATTTGAGTTTTAATTGCCTTAAAATAGTCTAGTGATAGTTCTGATGCCCTGAAACATAGTTATTAGCATTTCTAAATCATTTAAACTGGACAAGAAAGGTCTAATTAGCTTATTACTAAGGAAATCCACTTCCATAGCAACGGTTGCTAAGCAACGCTTTGAAATTTTGGGCACTGCCCTTGAAAATGATCAGCATAGACCAAAGAACATTTGTGCCAAGTTTCATGCTTTTTCCACATTTTGAGCAATTTGGCCAAAATATAGCACCAGTCATCCAGACTAGAGGGGTTAGACATAAATCAGTGAGGTGAGATTTTACACCAGGGATTTGCCCTCTGAATGTCCAGTTACAAAACAGATTAGACTGGTCAACATTTTATTTTTTGAGAGTGGTTCGAGACTCAGACAATTCAGCATGGTGAGATTTTATATGAAGGGTTTGACCTCTGAATGGTCAGTTAAGGAGACAAAGACTGGTCAATATTTTTGCGAGAGAGATTCGAAATTGGTCAGCTTGGCGAGAACTCTATCAGGGATTTAGCTACTGGGTATTCAGGGAAGCAAGAGAAAAATTAAAGGGGTCACTCTAGTGAGGTCCTAGGGAAGATATTTTTTTATCCTAGGAAAACCATGCTCAAAGCGATCTTCAGGTAAAAGGTTTCTGTCTAGCTGCTGGCTAGATGTTTGTGTACCTGAATGAAGTGTTTGGAATTTAGGTGTTTTTGTGAGTACTCCATTTGCTGGGGTTTGCTTTGTGAACTTTTGTTGTTGATTCGAATGCTTGTCTTCAAGTTGCATAATCTTTAGGTTGCATAAATATTTCATGAATGGCATTTATAACTGTTACACAATTTCAGTCTTATGAAAGGCCCTTGTTGTTTTCAGTACATTGAGATTATTATGATCTAGATTACTGCACTGGATAGGGATGCTCTTTTTGAAGAAAAAAAAATTGATAAAACCGGAAAGAGTGTCGGTGTGATCTTAAGCTTAGTACATATGATCGACAAGTGCCTGGGATGATATTATGGCCTGCCCTTTGAGAGCCATGTTATTCTGTGACATTTTTCAGGCTTCTGTTTACTAAACATGTGTGATGTTGGTGACATGGTATGTATCTACCAGGGTAATACCAGGAAAAATAAAGGTGAGATATGGTTAACTTTTAACTTTAAACTTTTGATTTAAGATTGCAATGTGTCAGCAAGGCTTGGGATTTTTGGTGATATTTTTCACTTGGGAATAATGAGGTATGGCATTTCAATTTTTTTTCAGCTTTTTATCATACAGAAAGATCTGCATTCTTTTCTTGTATTATTGCATGAAAAGGTCATTTTTGAGCAGACTGCTTATTTACTACTAAACAAGGAAGTTCTCAAGACTTTGAGACAGTTTATTTTCATTTATGTATGCATCTAGCGGGATGATTGATAACAGCGAAATCACCGTACATGGTCATTTTATGTAGTATACAGCACGTTTGTTTTCTCTGGGCTTCGACAAGCATAAAATAATTGCCAACCTCCCTGAACAAAGAGAAATATGCATCCAGGTAAATAACCATCCACCGCTTTCCACCCAATCACTTAACTGCTTCACAGAAATAATGTTGATTAATGATCTCCATGTCCAGGAATAGGACATTTTTGTAGTATTTGTAAATATCAAGAATGTGTGAGTGAGTGCTGGGTAATACCAGTGTTTGGTTGTTATGTACCGTATTGGTGGAAACACCGAATTAGGTCAACATGCCTCTTGGAAAGAGGCAAGATTTATAGTATATATATCTCAATTTGGGGTATAACTATTGTTTTCTGCTAATTGGTGATATGTATTGGCTAAACATTGAGGCAGTTTTGCTTTATTGTCTTGTGCCAAAGTAAATAATTTAACAACTTGTGTTATTAGACATGGTGCTCTTTGGTATGGAATCTTTTGCTATTTCTTGTTTATCAACCGTGCAACGAGCCTGCCTCTTCAAAGAATTATTGGGAGTCGTTGGCACACTTTCATGAAAAATTATCCCCATCTTCTCACAAAATGGGTTGGAATGACTCAGAAATCACCCTCTTTGTTTGCACTTGGTGCCCTTTGACCCTACAGGTTGTCACTGTACGTAGTTGAAGTACTGGTGTAGTCCTTTGTTGTGTGACTGTTATTACGACCAGTCTCTGGTCCCAGGACATAGTTTTTGTATACAGATTGGTAAAATGCCTTCTGTGTGTTAACATTCTTGTTGCTCAGCTCAGACATTTTTATTGAATGATGATGATATTGGGGTAGTGCTAGCAATTTTTTTCGCATAGCCAAATTACCACTTTTTGGTCAATTTGTTATCCAAATGGCTTTAATTTGATTAAAATTAGTCAAATCAAGCCCTAATTGTTTAGCCAATTTAAGTCAGTTATAGCATTTGGCTAAATTGGCGAGTGTTAGCGCTACCCCAGTGATATATAATTTAGTGATATTTAGTTGGAAATTGGATAGGTCACTCATAAAGTGCACGGTAGTACAAATTCTTTTAATTTGAAAAGTTATAAAGGATATTAGATAATTTTAAAAACCATAATAAAATTGATGTTTTTAAAATGTTATGTTTCTCATTATTTAAAAATTAGCAGTAAGTCTTTTCAACATATGCATATTATGATACCACTACTTGCTGAGTAAGGGTTTCACTTTGCTGGCTGTATTTGTACTGTAGTAGCTATGATGACAAATTGTCAATAGTTGCTAAAATCAATTGTTGTCAATATTTGCTTTGGGTTTAGTAGTCTTATGGCACTGAGACTTGACATAGGAGGGGGAAAGTCAATGGAAACTGGTAAGTTTGTATGAATTACATGGCCTGTTTGGGGTGACTTGCATTTTGACTTGTTCGTTCAGTCTCCATGGATGTGCATCTGGAGTGGATATGGGTAGAATTGCTCAGCATGTTTTAGGGCGCATTCCCATAGATTTTAGATCGATCTATCCCCGTGTGGAGTCTCATTAGATTACTGTCAGATAATCCGGCTAAAATGTCCGTCTCGCCTACTACAAGCTGTAAGGGGGTAATTAACTTCCGTGCGCGGTCGGCTGACTGCAACTTAACGTGAACCCCCAGGGAGTTAGGTCGATCTAGTAAGATCGATCTAAATCTCTGGAAATGCCCTCTTAGAAATCCATACTAGTACTTGCACAAGTATACAATGCCATACTAGAACTTGTTTATATTTTGCCCAGTGAGTTGATATGTCTGTACATCTACACATGTGCATAGACATGCGTTTACATCTAGACTAACACGTGAAAATTTTACCAAATTCTAAGGAAAATATTTTCAAAAAATCAAGAGTTCTCTCGAAAAAAAAAAGTAAATTTATTACTTTAAAGACTTAAACTTTTAATATGGTTCAAATTTCCCAGCTATTTGAGAAAAACTAATTCTGGAGGGCCTCTGTCAAATGTGCCTGGACTTGTCCCAGATGGCTATAAATCTGACTCTCATGTGATAGGACCTTTCTCCATATCTCTGTTTGGTCCCATTCCCATCGACACCATCGGTCTACGTGGTGCGATCCAACTCTGCAGGGGGTTGCTAACTGCATTCAGCTTAACTGAATGCAACGCCTCCTCCTGGTGTTACGTAGAATATAATAGAAAAAAACTGGTGATTTTATATGAGTATTTTGGAAACAAGGAGGTGGGTTATTCGGTTCAGCTGATTGCACTTAGCGAGAGTTGGATTGATTTATTTAGACTCGGTGTCTGTTGGAATGGGGTCTTAGTATTGCAGTATTAGATGAATGTCTACCAGTTGAGGTACGTATAAATAGTACATTTTCTTAACAGCTTGAGGGTCAGTTTTAGGGTCAAGTTGACCTCGAGACAGAGGGAAATGTTCAGCCATATTTTCATAAATTTAAAGAGAGCCAGTGTTGTTGGAGCTTATTAGTTCTGACAATTTCACTTTGCAATCAATCTGTATCATGCCGCTTTGCAGCTAGCTTTATTATATAGTACATGTCTGCAAGCAGTAAATATATAAGGGCTTAAGTTATCACGTGCCTTGATATACTAATATGCAATATCCAATAAATGGCAAGGAGCCTTTCCACAGCCGCAGCAGCGAGAGTGGTCCTCATTAGCGACACAAAAGCTATCAGGAAGTCTGTCTATAGGTATTGGATGACTTAATGTGTTTGCTGATACGTTACATCAGGAGGCAGCACGAGATTGGATTATGGGTCTACGTGGTCTTATATTAGTGTTGTTGTCTTTGCTGTGAGTGCAGTATCTGTGCACTGAGGGGTTGGGTTGTTATCAGATGTGGCTGCAGGAACTTTGCTACCAGGCTCATTAGAGAGTTTCCGTTGCCGGTGAGATACGCCGGCTAGATTAATACGTCATCGGTATGTGCGCACTTGTGACGTTCACCGCATTCATATACCGTCGTCCAATCTAGTCTGCGGAATACAAGCGCTCCTATCTAGCCAGTGCGGAAGATTATTGAAACTAGTTATTAAAGGTTATGTTTGCTCATTTATATGCCTTATATAATTTTTTACAATAGTTCAAGTGTACGTTCATGCAAATTTCGACTTTTTAAGCGAGAGGAGTCGCTAGTTTTGGTTTATCAGGCACGTAGTCGGGGGTTGATCTTACTAACCGCCATATTTGTCGTAAAAAATTGAATTTTTGGGTAATATATGTCTCCTTTTTCATAAAAAAAGAATCTCCACCTTGGAAATAGATGGCTAAGGGGCCGTATATTGTTAATTATATTGGAATGAGCGGGGCGGGAAGCGCCAGCATTCTGGAACTTTACCGGAACGAGAAAAGAGTAGCGCGTTACTAGATACATTTGCACATACGTAACAATCTAGCCGTCGTATCCCAACTGCACCGGAAACTCTCTATTACTAGGATATACCTGTTTAAGGTGACACCCAAGGGCCACCGAGCCACTGTGGTTTGTCTTCGTCACTGGTAGCCTTATGTCAGTCAGAGAGACTAAGAAAGGTTAGTTATAGAATAGTGTCAAAGATAAGAGCAAGAGTGGGATCAGAAATTATGAAATTCTGCCAGGGCGAGAAAAGGTGATTACCAGTTTGGGTAAACCTGCTGCCATTTTTACCTGGGCTCTGTAACTCTAAAACATTGCGAATTGCGACCGAGTGCAAGCATCTGTATTCCATAACTCTGCATTTACTCGCCCACATGAGAGGCTCGAAACGAAAGGTGATAGCGCTATCGTAATACCTGATGCTATCGAGTTTCGAAGCCCTGTTCAACAACACCATTCACTGGACAAGCCTTGTGATCCTCCGGCTCTGACAGTGTCCTCATTAGGACTAGCTCACTTTAGGTAGAGAGTCCTTTTAGAAAAAAAAGATGGGTAATCCTAAGACTAGGTGAACTGGTTCGTACTTGGAACAAAGACAATTTGCATTGGAATGTGACATTTATTGTTTGCTCTGATGAAGAACACCTGAACCAGTGAAGGAGATTTTTCTTTTACATTAAGACAAAAAAAAGGGGGAAGCAGGTGGTATAAATTTAATCTAGTAAAAATGGGGGTGGATAAGATGAGCAGACTCAACAAATTGGTTTTATTTTCATGTAATGGAAACATATCAGTTATTGCCAGTGAAAGATAACCAATAAGGCTGTGTTCAAGATTTATGAAAGGTTCCAGCTTAGTATATGTGATCCTGACATATAAAGATGTAGCTTAGTACAAGGATGTAGTTTTGTGTATTTTCTCAGGAATGCCACTAGGATTTGGAATGTGATACAATTTTAAGCAAAGAAATCGCACAATATTTGAATTCTTGTGAGTCTCTACATTGGAAAGATGAGGGCATTATTTCCTGATAAACCATTCAGTGCTTTAATTTAAAAAAATTATGCTGCTGCTGGTGTAACAGGAATGGAAATCTGGGCCCCCATATGATAAGTACAGGTTAGGGTTAGTTGGAGTATTGGGGTTAATATATGGGACGAATGACACCAGTACAAAGTAATGGGAAGGGGGCTACGTTTCCTAGTGGACTTCTATTCCTGTTACACCGGCTTAGTAAAACATGGACATGTCTTATCTTGATAAATGCTAAAAAGGAGAGAGAACCATGCAAGCATGACTGTTTGAGTCACATGTCAGAGCAGAAATACATTAGCAGGCGGCTAGTGGCGAGCTTGACCTCGCAAACACCACGTTGCAACCCTGGTTGCTGTCTTTGATAAATGTCCCTCACAGGTAGTAATGCCTGTTTTCTTGTGTGTTTTTACAGGAATAGAAATGCCTGGTTTACAGCTCGAGGGCGAAAAACGGAAACTTTTGGAAGCCAGGTTCTTTGGGACATCAGGACGGGTAAGTCTTTGAGATCACCAAGGTCGAAGTCCAATTTACTCTTAGTTTTACTTTGGTTATGAGTTAACAAAATTTTTAATGAAAAAAGTAAAAAGATAAATGCTGTTCAATGAAGCAGCAGTGTTGGATATTTTGAGTAATAGTAAGCTATAAACAGATGAAGTAATCTGCCAATGTTTTGCTTTGAATTTGGAAACGGCATGGATATTTTGACAATTAAGTTGTGTAACAACTGAATTGTGTGGCGTAACATCTAGCAGATGTAAGACTAAATTGAATCAGGTCCAACAGTTTTACTAAGGCCACGTTCATAACCAAAATTGATCCGTGTACTAACAGAGCCATAGATCAAATATGGCCAAACCACTTAAAAGCTATTTGCATAATCCCCGCAGGGGAATCTTCTAAGTTTCTATTAGGGGATTATGTGGCAGGCTTTTAAGTTGGTCAGCCATATTGGATCCGTGGATATGTTCTGAATTCACCCTAAGAGTTTGGAATTGATATCAAAATTACAGCTTCCTGTGAGTGTTTGTGTTTTTAAAAAAAAATCACTCAGGAATCAGTACACTAGGGGTCAATGTATTGTTTCAGCCAAATGAAAGATTCCCACCCAATTTTGTTTGAAAAATGGGAAAAGAAATGCACTTCTTTATTTCACCTACTAGTAAATATTTCTCAAGCCTTTTTGTTGACAGGAAGGGGGACATTTCTTTAGTGGATCTGTAACATAGCTTCAGAAATGGTGCCTTTCCTATTGTAACAACATTGGGTGGCTGATTGTTGTAACAATTGTTATGTTATTTTTTATGTTGGTCCTGTTATAAAATATGATAATTAAATTTCAGACTCATCATTTTGGTATTTCCTCAAGAGCAATCAGGACATATGAAGTCAAACAAAAAATAAAGAAACCTCTCAGATCATATTTTTCTTTTTCTTTTTTCATACAAAACTTAACAGTAGTATATGCAATTTATCACTATTGTTCAAATTAATTAAATAATGACCATAATCCCTTGTTTACACTCCTGTAGCTATTTGCACTACCTCAGACGACGACAACAGCATCATGTCAGCAGCAGCAACAAGAGAATTCCAACACCAGTATTGCTAGTGCTTCAAGTGACGAGAGGGATGGAGACCAGGTAGGTTTTTGTACTGCTTCAGAAATGTACTTTTGTGTGTGTATATGTTGTGCGTGTTTAAGCATGTATGTTAGGCTGCATGTCTGTATTGTATGTGTGTGTGTATATGCATGTGTATCAGTGTGTTCATGCTCGTAAGTATGTGTTTTAGAGGAGTGAACTCCGCCTCAAGTGATGAGAGAGAGAGAGAGAGAGAGGGAGAAAAAGAGAGAGAGAGAAAG